GTTGTTGCTATTACCGCCACCGACAACCTGTTGTTGTTGTTGTGATTGTTGTTGCTGTTGTTGTAGGGTAGTAGTTGCGGAAGGTGGTGGACCATTATTAAGGATAACATGATGTTGAGCATGAACATTGTGTTGCTGTTGCTGCTGCTGTTGTTGTTGCTGCTGCTGCTGAGCAGTGGCTGCTGTGACCGGTGTACCAGACATTTGATCGACAGCAACTAAATTCGTGACATTACCACCGCCCGCAGCAACGGGCGCACCAACGACACCAGTAACCTGCAAATCATCTTGACTGTAACAGACGACTGTGCCGTCTTGAGTTATGGCTCCATTCATGACTGTATATTCGGTGTTATCAATCGTTGTTGTCGTAACCGTTGGGCCCTGTTGGCCACCAGCAGCAATGGCTGTTTGCTGATGGGCGTACTGCAAGTGGGCTTGTTGAGGATGGCCTTGTATTTGATGTGGTGCTGTGTGTTGGGGTGTAGCTGCTGCTACAGCAGCCGCGGCTGCTGCCGCCTGTACTGTTTGTAATGTAGGCTGTTGTGTGTGAGCTGCTATCAATTGTTGATGTTGACCAGGCGCTGCTGCCACCTGTAAAGCTTGATGATGTGCTGGTTGTGGTCCAGCGGCTGTCGCTATCAATGGGATGTGTGTTGCTGCTGGAGCTGCCAATTGTGTGGTTGGACCGTATAAATTGGTCGCTAACACTGCCGTATCAACAGGAACATTAGCATAGACGGTGGTAGCAACAGGTGGTGGTATCTTCACTCCATCCCCATTCATATAAACATAACCCCCTACAAATAGACAAACAAATATACAGATAAAGATATTATTATTCAATTGTTGTGTGCAGCAAAAATATAATAGGAAAAAATGATAGGGAGAGAGAGAGAGAAAAAAACGAAAACATCAATTTAAATTATCATCATGTTCTGTTTGTTATTATTGATTTTATTATAAATATTGTACATAGTTAAAGGAAAACTAGGAAATTTTGAAAAATCTTTTATTTTTGAAAGGCATGTAGATGAAATCATGTTATATTTTGAAAATAATAATTAAAATAACTGTAAGTTGATAAAATATAATTGGCAAATATGTTCATAAAAATTAATAAAAACAAAACGTCTATGCAAATTACTTATTATAAATTATTTCATAGAAACAATTTTCAGTATTTCGAATTAACAATAGTGTAATATATCTACTTTTTGATAAACAGAAATTATTTCTTTTTTCAAATTTTGCCATAAAAAACATATGGAGTAAAGAAAACAAGATTATGACAAATGCAATAAAATAATAACTTCAAAATATATGCCGCCAAGATGTATTTATTTAATTGAAATAATAATTTATTTGTTAATTTATTATATTAATTTCTATGGTTTCACAAAATTTGCATTAGAGTTCATATGTAAATGATGTAATATTTATAAGTACGTAGTATGTACATTTATTCATATATATGTACATACATACATATGTATGTACTATGAATGTTAGGGTGGCTCCCAATGATAGGAAAGTTTACTTCAATTTTGGATAACATTTCTAAAATTTGTTTCCTGCCAAGATGTTTTACTCTAATAAAATCAATAAAATATTAATAAATAAAAAAGATTTTGATAGTAACAAATTATTAAAAAATACTGAGCCCATATTACGGCATACGATATCGATCGAAATCTCTATAAAGTCTAAATGGAGATTTCGATCGATATCGTATGCCATAATTTGGGCCCTGAATTTTTATGAAAAATTTAAAAAATTTTAATTTTTGCGAAAAATTTACATTTTAGGAAATATTTAAAATTTTGCAACAAATATTAAATTTTTTGTGTAAATATGTTATGTGATTTTTTGTGAAAACTTAACTTAAACTATAACTGAACTGGAACTAAAAGAGAACTGAACTAGAACTCACCTATAACTGAAATAGACCTGAATTTTTTATTTCAAATTCAGTTATAGAACTAAACGAAAACTGAACTCGAAATTAATATAATACTGAACTAGAACTGATTAAAACTGAACTGGAATTGGACTCTAAAACTGAATGAACTAAACTGAACTAGAATGAACTAGACTGAACTGAACTGAACTAGAACTGAACTAGAACTGAACTAGAACTAGAACTGAACTAGAACTGAACTAGAACTGAACTAGAACTGAACTAGAACTGAACTAGAACTGAACTAGAACTGAACTAGAACTGAACTAGAAATGAACTAGAACTGAACTAGAGAACTGAACTAGAACTGAACTAGAACTGAACTAGAACTGAACTAGAACTGAACTAGAACTGAACTAGAACTGAACTAGAACTGAACTAGAACTGAACTAGAACTGAACTAGAACTGAACTAGAACTGAACTAGAACTGAACTAGAACTGATGAACTAGAACTGAACTAGAACTGAACTAGAACTGAACTAGAACTGAACTAGAACTGAACTAGAACTGAACTAGAACTGAACTAGAACTGAACTAGAACTGAACTAGACTGAACTAGAACTGAACTAGAACTGAACTAGAACTGAACTAGAACTGAACTAGAACTGAACTAGAACTGAACTAGAACTGAACTAGAACTGAACTAGAACTGAACTAGAACTGAACTGAAACTGAACTAGAACTGAACTAGAACTGAACTAGAACTGAACTAGAACTGAACTAGAACGAACTAGAACTAAACTAGAACTAAACTAGAACTGAACTAGAACTAGAACTGAACTAGAACTGAAGAACTAGAACTGAACTAGAACTGAACTAGAACTGAACTAGAACTGAACTAGAACTGAACTAGAACTGAACTAGAACTGAACTAGAACTGAACTAGAAAGAACTGACTAGAAAGAACTGAACTAGAACTGAACTAGAACTGAACTAGAACTGAACTAGAAATGAACTAAAACTGAACTAGAACTGAACTAGAACTGAACTAGAACGAACTGAACTAGAACTGAACTGAACTAAAGAACTGAACTAGAACTGAATAGAACTGAACTAGAACTGAACTAGAACTGAACTAGAACTGAACTAGAACTGAACTAGAACTAAACTAGAACTGAAACTAGAAACTGAACTAGAACTGAACTAGAACTAGAACTGAACTAGAACTGAACTAGAACTGAACTAGAACTGAACTAGAACTGAACTAGAACTGAACTAGAACTGAACTAGAACTGAACTAGAACTGAACAGAACTGAACAAGACTGAACTAGAACTGAACTGAACTAGAACTGAACTAGAATGAACTAGAACTGAACTAGAACTGAACTAGAACTGAACTAGAACTGAACTAGAACTGAACTAGAACTGAACTAGAACTGAACTAGAACTGAACTAGAACTGAACTAGAAACTAGAACTGAACTAGAACTGAACTAGAACTGAACTAGAACTGAACTAGAACTGAACAGACTAGAACTGAACTAGAACTGAACTAGAACTGAATAGAACTGAACTAGGACTGATATAGAACTGAACTGAACTGAACTAGAACTAGAACTAACTAGAACTCAACTAGAACTGAATTAGAACTAAACTAGACCATTGCAATATTCATCATCAAGAAAAAACAACAAATAATACAAGAAGATTCAAGTTGGTAAATAGTTTTAACACATTATGTATAAAATTCGGCACAGCCACATTAATACTCTTACTTCTTATAGACTGATATTAAACTATTAAAATAGTAACAATTTTAAAGATTACCTGGTATTATTAAAAACTTTAATTATATAAGATAATATATGGAGACAGACAATCAAGCCAGGCCACAACAATACAATCAAATTACACACAAACAAATGGAAAACCACTTTTTGGTGAAAAAAAACTTGTCCATAGTAGTTGATTGAAAACCGTTAAAAGAAACCCATAAATATACTAATAGGAAAAACTAGACAAGACATTTTAAATTTAATACTACAACACCACCACCCTCTTTCTCTTCTTCTAGCCTTTTTAGTAGTGAATTTGAAAAACAAAAAATACAACTATAAAATCAAATGATATTTTTTTTAAATAATGTGGCAGGTTAAAGAAGACGAAAATAACAACAATAACTACAACAAAAACGGTACAAGTATATAGGAATTATACACATAATATAATACAATACAATAGACGAAGAAGAAACAAAAATGCAAGTCTCTCGTCGTAAACGAGTAAATAAAAGAAACTTCAGAAAAAATATGTGTAAAATGTCAAACTATGCAAAAAAAGGAAAAAAGCGAAAAAATATATTGAATAATGTAGAACGAAAGAAACGATAATGAATGGATAAGCAGTAAAATAAAACAGAAATTATGTTCTCTGTGTACAACATTTTTTAACACATTTAAGTAAACTCTAATGAATTTTACTATTCCAAAAACATATGAAAGTAAAAAAAATTAAACAAGAATCATTGAATGTTAAAAATAGTCCAAAATAGAGAAAAATTTTCAATTACAACAGAATTTATAAAAGTTATTGATTTTATTTTAAATGCAAAATATAACTATGTAATAAAATTTGGGAATTTTTTTTTTTTGGGTTTTCCACAACTTAAAAAACAACAACTGCACACGTTAAAAAAACATCTGCAATTAAATCTTCAAAATGTTTACTATTCAGGGTATAGTACCTTGAAATAGCTAGAGTCAGTAAACAGCTGATTATTAGTTAGTCCTTTGATGAAATACAAAAACCAATAACAACAAACAGGCAGAAATTTCTGACAATTTAAACCTTTTTATTTTTTGACAAAAAACCAAATGAATGTTGTTTTAAAAATGTTGTTGTTATTGTCCGTTTTTCTAATATATGTATAACTGCGTTTCATTTAATATGTATATCCTGCGTAATGCATATGTTACACATTTTAAACCCGCATGGCAAATTTTGCTAATCCTACGAATTATTGAAATGAAAATTGATGGCACATCTGTAGAAAAATTTTAGTTTAAACTTAGAACAGATGGATTTTCGTATATTTAAGATAAAATCTATGGAGTAGAACTGAATTAAAAATAAAGTAGTAGTGAAATAGAACTGCAATGGGACTATACTAGGACTTATCTAAAATCGAACTAGAACTAAACTAGAACTGAAGTTAAATTGAACTAGAACTAAACTACAAATGATCTAGAAATAAACTAGAACTAAATTAGAGCTGAACTAAAACTGAACTTGAACTGAACTAGAACTGAACTAGAACTGAACTAGAACTGAACTAGAACTGAACTAGAACTGAACTAGAACTGAACTAGAACTGAACTAGAACTGAACTAGAACTGAACTAGAACTGAACTAGAACTGAACTAGAACTGAACTAGAACTGAACTAGAACTGAACTAGAACTGAACTAGAACTGAACTAGAACTGAACTAGAACTGAACTAGAACTGAACTAGAACTGAACTAGAACTGAACTAGAACTGAACTAGAACTGAACTAGAACTGAACTAGAACTGAACTAGAACTGAACTAGAACTGAACTAGAACTGAACTAGAACTGAACTAGAACTGAACTAGAACTGAACTAGAACTGAACTAGAACTGAACTAGAACTGAACTAGAACTGAACTACAACTGAACTAGAACTGAACTAGAACTGAACTAGAACTGAACTAGAACTGAACTAGAACTGAACTAGAACTGAACTAGAACTGAACTAGAACTGAACTAGAACTGAACTAGAACTGAACTAGAACTGAACTAGAACTGAACTAGAACTGAACTAGAACTGAACTAGAACTGAACTAGAACTGAACTAGAACTGAACTAGAACTGAACTAGAACTGAACTAGAACTGAACTAGAACTGAACTAGAACTGAACTAGAACTGAACTAGAACTGAACTAGACTGAACTAGAACTGAACTAGAATTGAACTAGAACTGAACTAGAACTGAACTAGAATTGAACTAGAACTGAACTAGAACTGAACTAGAACTGAACTAGAACTGAACTAGAACTGAACTAGAACTGAACTAGAACTGAACTAGAAACTGAACTAGAACTGAACTAGAACTGAACTAGAACTGAACTAGAACTGAACTAGAACTGAACTAGAACTGAACTAGAACTGAACTAGAACTGAACTAGAACTGAACTAGAACTGAACTAGAACTGAAACTAGAACTAGAACTAGAACTAGAACTAGAACTGAACTAGAACTGAACTAGAACTGAACTAGAACTGAACAGAACTAGAACTGAACTAGAACTGAACTAGAACTGAACTAGAACTGAACTAGAACTGAACTAGAACTGAACTAGAACTGAACTAGAACTGAACTAGAACTGAACTAGAACTGAACTAGAACTGAACTAGAACTGAATTAGAACTGAATTAGAACTGAACTAGAACTGAACTAGAACTGAACTAGAACTGAACTAGAACTGAACTAGAACTGAACTAGAACTGAACTAGAACTGAACTAGAACTGAACTAGAACTGAACTAGAACTGAACTAGAACTGAACTAGAACTGAACTAGAACTGAACTAGAACTGAACTAGAACTGAACTAGAACTGAACTAGAACTGAACTAGAACTGAACTAGAACTGAACTAGAACTGAACTAGAACTGAACTAGAACTGAACTGAACTAGAACTGAACTAGAACTGAACTAGAACTGAACTAGAACTGAACTAGAACTGAACTAACTGAACTAGAACTGAACTAGAACTGAACTACAACTGAACTAGAACTGAACTAGAACTGAACTAGTACTAAACTAGAACTAAACTAGAACTGAACTAGAACTAAACGATAACTGAATTAGAAATAAACTAGAAAATATAAATTAGCAAAAAGTGTTTGCAAACTTTATAGGTACATACTAAGATTTCCCGAAAACCAGATGTTGGTGGAAAAATTTTGAGGCCAGTTTTGAACTTAGCTTATTCCTTTGGAAAAGTACAATAGTATTACTTTACTTAATGGGCTTTGACTTATTGATATCTCACATACATATATTCTATTGTTCCTATGATTTTTTGTCTGATGAAACTTAAGAACGTAAACCACAGAATCAATAGTGACTTTTGTCTTATATGATCGATAATAGCAATAATATCTACTATTCATTAGTAAAGCCGTAAAATATTTTCAAAAATGTTTATCCTATCCACATCACTGTGAGGTGGTGGACTATTGTTCAGAAACGAAAAAATGAGAAATGGATGGATAACAATGAACAACACATGTTTTCCTTTCTACTTTACTTTGCGTTTTGTGAAAGGGGCGATATTACACAATAATTATATAGTTTTTATAAACGCAAAAAAGAAAAAAGAAGAAGCGAAAAATGAAAAATACATATGTATTAAATTTCCAGAGGATAAGCAAAAATTTACAGCTATAATATGTGTGTAAATATGAGGAGAAAACATCATAATGGAAAATTTAAGGAAAATATATTACAAACCTAAATAATATTCCATTTTTTAAGAATTTTCCTTAAAGTTTCGACGAAGGAAGGAAGAAGTTAATTTA